AAAAGTCAAGCTTCCTATCTGGACTGATGTAATAGAAGGCATGGTGGGTGGCTTTGAGGAAAGAGGAAAAGAGATGTTGCCTAGGATAAGGGTCCCCAACAGTGGTGGGATTCAATTTTTTTTCTATTGGTTCTGTGGGCGTGGCTTGGTGGGCATGGCAGGGAAAGGTTACTGCAAAATCCTCATTCCCTCCCAATCAGCTGGGACCCAGGAGGCAGGGAATAGATGGGGGCGGGGCCAGCCAGAGGTGGTGTTTCCCGGTTCTCCGAACTACTCAAAATTTCCACTACCAATTCTCCAGAAGCTGCTGAATATCACCTCTGGTCCACAACCTCCAGTCTATGGAATGGCACCGGGCCACAGCGTGCCAGAAACCGGGCTGTGCAAACAAGCGAAGCCCCATCCACGGGATACAGACAGCACATGAAAACACCCCTTTCTGGCCCATGGACAAACTTTTCTCCACAGAACCAGTTCCTGGTGCCCAAAAGGTTGGGGCCTCTGAACTAGGAAGGATTCAGATAAGAGGGGCAAAATCGCTATTGATCTGAGAATAAAATTAAGGAAGGACCCCGCTCGAATGGAACAAGAGGTGGGAAGTTTGTACTTTCAGACTCACAAAATTCTATTAATGTAGCCTCACAGTGAAGTAGATCAGAGGTCCCCAACCCCCCAGTGTGCAGACAGGTTCCAGTCCGCAGCATGCTAGCAACCGGGCCATGCAAACAAGTGAAGGCCCATTCACGGGATGCAGGAAGCACAAAAAACACATCCCCCCACTCCAGTCCATGAAAAAAACTCTCTCGATGGAACCAGTCCCTGGTGCCCAAAAGGTTGGGGGCCTCTGAAGTAGATTTAGCTCATCTGGTTGTGCTTCCTGTCTGGTTTAGCTGGGAAGACCAATAGCTACCTGGAAGGACTAACACAAGGTGGGTGGGTCAAACTGGATTTCTTTGTAGGCTGGATCAGCATTGTAACTCTCTGCAGGTCAGTAGGGGTAGATGGAGGGGGAGATGGGATGGACACCTCCTGCAGCACTTTACCAGCCAAAACGGGGCATTAGGGGGCGCACACGCCCCCCCACCTCATTTTCCACCTCCCCGGCCTCCAGCAGCACTCTGCCATCGTGGTGAAATTCAATTTTTTTTCAACCGGTTCTGTGGGCATGGCTTGGTGGGCGTGGCAGGGAAGGATACTGCAAAATCTCCATTTCCACCCCACTCCAGGGGAAGGATATTGCAAAATCTCTATTTCCACCCCAATCTGGGGTCAGCCAGAGGTGGTATTTGCCAGTTCTACCCGAACTACTCAAAATTTCCGCCCTGTGGCCCGTTTTCGGCCTCCCCAGTCTCCAGCAGCACTCTGCAGGCGAAAAGCAAGCTGCACAGAGTCCTCTGGATGCCATTTTAGGCGGCAGGGGCACAGTGGGCCAGTCCTTTGATATTTCCAGGTCAGCCTTGTGGCCCAGAGTTAAGCACCGCACTGGCCAGATCTGGCCCACAGGCCTTGAGTTTGACATCCCTGGATTAACACCAGCTTACCTGGTTGGTTCTCCTCCTGATGCTCTGGGAAGGAAGAGCTGTCATAAAGGGTGTCCCTGCTGTCGAAGTATCTGTAGGTGTTCTCTCCCAGGTGGACCCTCTGGTGTTTGGTCAGGTAGGGCCTCCAGCGGAAGCTCTCCCCGCACTGGAGGCACTTGTACGGCTTCTCCCCGGTGTGGATCCTCAGGTGCTCCGTCAGGGTGGAGCGCCGGTTGAAGCTCCGCCCACACCGGGGGCACTCGTAGGGCTTCTCGCCCGTGTGGATGCGCAGGTGGGCATTGAGGTGCGTGCTCTGGAAGAACCGCTTCCCGCAGGCCAGACACTCAAAAGGCTTCTCCCCCGTGTGGGTCCTGCGGTGCTTCACCAACTCGAATTTATACTGGAAGGCTTTCCCGCAGTCGTGGCACACGTGCTTCTTCTCGACCTGAATGATCTTGATTTGGCTGATGTCGGTGTCGTCGTTCCCACCAAGGAGTGGCTCCGATTCAGTCTTTATGGGCCACCTGAGCGGCTGCCCACCTGAGCCTTGCCTGAGCCCACAGATCTCAGGGTTGGGCTTCACCCCACTGCAGGGTTTCGACAAGATAGAGGCAGTACATAGGGACTCGGCTTCAGGGGCGCCACTCTCAATGGTGTCACCTGCTGGAGGAAAGGGGAAGAGCAAGGCGGAGACAGCAGCTGATTTAAATGTATTTATATCACACGGTATCTATTCCTACCCCAAGGGTTTTTCCTTTAACTCTTTTTAGGTATCTAGAGATGTATATTTTAGCTATTTTTATTTTATTTATCTTATGTATATGGTATTGTATTGTGTTGTACTGTACTATTTTATTTTATTTGATTTATTTTATTATTTTATTTTATTATTTTATTTTATTTATTATTTTATTTATTTTATTTATTTTATTTATTTTATTATTATTTTATTATTTTATTATTTTATTATTTTATTATTTTATTATTTTATTATTTTATT